TAATAAACAGAGAAGATTGATTTAACACAAAGGTTAAATATAACCAGAGGAAAGGAGGGCGGGGGGAAAAAAGGAAGAAATAAAATAACTCAAACAATAGTGAATTAGAAGAGGTGTCAGTTGGGGTTTTTCCATCTACAGAACATTTTTTGAGAGTTCAAACATCTCAGGCTCTGGAATTTTGTTGGCTCATTATGTGCGTGTGCGCTTTGCGCTCTTTTTCTTCATCGAGTCATTAAAAAGATGATATTTACCATTGCATATCATACAAAATGATGATTGATAGAAACCAGATGCCTGCATACCGATCTCATTAAATTTCTTTTTAAGCGATTCCATTCTGCACCCGCTAATTTGTACTCTGTGAGCTACATCTGGACCCAACCGACAGGATGTCAGGATTGCTTTTCCTCTCTCTTTTGCCCTTTTAACAACTTTAAGGACACGACTGTTCCCAGTAGCAGAGCCAAAGGAAATAATTAAGGTGCAAAACCACTGCAGTCACTGGGAACCTGTTTTCCGTTCAGGAGGAGAGACACCACTTCTCCTCCCATCTTCCTCCCTCTCCCCAGACCCCGCAGAGCAAACCCCGCACAGAGAAAATCCTCAAGCCCAGCCACCTCCTTCATTTCCCAGCTGGAAAAAAAAAAAGAAGGAAGCTGCTCTCTTGGTCCCCCTGAGGACTTAAACCATTGATGCTCTACTCACCCTGTTTGCACACCGCAGGGAAAAAATACCAGCGAGCCCTCGAAGCTGCTGGGGGAGGCTTCAGCTGAACCCCCAGCCAGCACTTGTAGACTTTGCTTTGCTACATTTTCCTACCAATGCTCTCGTGCTTTCTCTCGCCTCGTCCTTCTACGTGGGAGAAACTCTCTCTAACGCAGCCTGGAGTCTCTCCGCGTCCCTTTTCAAACCTCTCCTTCCAACTCCTTTCTGCTCGGGTGCCTACAAAGCAGCTGATAATGGGTAGGCAGGTGGTGTGTGGTGCTGCTATTTATTATGCTGAGGGCTGTCTCCTGCTTCTCCTGCACGTTCCCCCTGCTCCTCCCAGCCACCTGTAGCCTATCATCCCATTTCCAGGCTGGGCCAGGGGTGCCGGGCGCTGCCCCGTGACTACATCTCCCAGCCCAAGGTGAGAAAGGTCTCAGCCATGTCAATGCCACCGCCCGGCAAGACAGAAAAATTACTCTAATTGGAGTAAGAGGACGGTGCCTGCTTGCCCCCGCAGCACAGCTCTGCCCATGTCCTCTCTCCGAGGGCCCACGGACCGGTGGAGCTGGTGGTGGGCAGCATCTCCAGCTCCGGTGCGGGAGGACTGGGAGGAAAAGGGCCAAGCCCCCGGTCCACACACTGATGCTAAATTCAACTTCTTCTACGGCTGAGGGAGAAGAGGTGTAGCTGGCCTCCCTCCAGGTGAAGCCCACGTCCCGCTGCAAAGCCTGGGGAGCAGATGCAGCAATGCAATGCCGAGCCATGCTCGGGAGCCGTGACACCCCAGGCACTGCAGAGCCCCAGGGCAGAGGGACCAGGACACCCCGGGGAGGCTGGGAGGGGACCCAGCACCAAAGATGTGGCCAAATACATTTGGGCATGAATGAGCAACCCCCAGCAGCATGTCCTGCTCGCTCATGTGTGCACAACTCACACCTCCAAGTCCTCATCGCTGTTGTCTTCCCCTACCACGGATGTGGGTTCAGCCCAAAGCCTCTTGGCTGCGTAGGCGAACCTTTAGGCTATGGGTAAGGACAGTTTCCATCACATAAATGAACTAACAGCGCCAAAGTGGCTTTCCCACATGCCCCCGGTTACCTACGGCCCTTTGGTCAGTGCCTCCGTCCACAGCATCATCCTCATCCTCCACACGTGTGTCCCTGTCCCTCTCCACTGCCAAACCCCTGTCCCTGCCTGTGTCCCTGCCCGCTGGGTGAAAGCGGCACGCAGCGACGGCCACATTGGTCCCCTCCACCCCACCACCAGCATCTCCCCCGCACCGGCCACCCTTCCTACGGCTCTGCTGAGCAGCATCGGCCGGTATCAGGAAACGATGCTAAAATGTGACTCTTGCCTCCGAGGCAGGCGCACGGTGAGGATGGAGCTCGTCGGAGCCCGGCTGTGTGTCCTCGACCCCCGGGGACGGCAGAGGGGTTTGGAAGTAG